TGTGTTTAAACACATACGTATAACGTCTGTGATGCTGGATGTAGACAGAGCTGCTAACCTGGTTCTGTTGGGCTTCAGCCTGACCTCGGTCCCTTTATCACAGAAAATATCTGTTTATTGAACTCATTAGGCCGTGTCTCGCTTAAACTTTTTCCTTTTCCCCTCTTAGTGTCTCTGCTCCGTCCATCTCTTTCTCCTTTCGAACATGTTAGTGAATTTTCCCTGCGCTGCTCACCTGTTTTATTTCTCTGTTTTTAATGTGGGAGGGAGCCCACCGGGCTTCCTCGTCTGCAGGTCCACGCTCTCCTGCTCTACAGAGCTGCTGTTTACAGGTAGATGGAAGGTTGGGGCAACAATACGGACCGGATAACAACCTGACATGTGCCTGTGTGTAACACCAGGGGTTGCAGTGAAACACGTGGATTTATATCGATACGTGTGTTTTTATAATAAAAATAGTGGACCGGAGTTGAGTTTTTGGCGTTTGTCAGTTCTCAGAGTGAGAAATTGGGAGTGTGGCGTGAGGGCGTGTGAAGACCCTCAGATGCGTGGGTCTCACGCTCTGCGTCAGAGGTGGCAGCTCTGGTACTAGCTGAAGGCTTTCAAGCTCTTAAATCTGACTTTTGTGTCAGCTGTGGCTCCGGTTTTTGCTTGTGTCTGCTCCCCACAAGTTCTGTTTTGTGGTTTGCTGCCTTGATAGTATTTAGTTTCATTATTAAAATAAGTTTATTTTTTGAAGAACCTTGTCAATAGTCATTTATCTGCAATTTGTGTCAAAAAATCACCACAAACCATGACAGGTCTACCATCATTCATGATGTATTCTGAGATGTCAAAACACAACTCTCATGAAGATAATGGGTGATCCACTGAAAATTGTAACTTATGTACAGTAAAAGGGCTCCACAATTCATTCAAAAAGAAGAAAAATAATGAATCAACTAAAACAAATTAACTGTCACAGAATTTCTGTAAGTAACCTATTTATTTGACACAGAACTGACAAATAAATAAGGGTAAAAAAAAGTCTGTTGCCATACTTGTGCATAGGTGGATAAARTTCACACAAACATTGCTACATAGAGACACAGAGGGGAAATATAAATTAGTTAATGGAACAACTGATGGTGTAGAAGTGTCACTTGTAAATGTGGATGCACCCAACACAGATGCACATGTCCACCCATTTCTAATTTTGAGCCAAAAGGAAAGAAGAAATAAATGTGAATGAGACGTGTTAAGGTAAAACAAATACACACTGTGCGTTCTTAGTACATCTGCACCTCAGTGTTTGGCTCCTCACTTCACAATTTGACTACATGAGTTGTTCAACATTTTTCTAGCTCAGCTTACTTAAAGTCAGAATGAAACCTGAGTATTTACTTCCTGTTTTACCTCGTTGCTCTTTACTAGCTTAAAGAAAGCTATAAAAGTCTAAATATGTTATTAAGCAATATAAAAACACATTTTTATGACAAAATAAATGAGTAAAAGGCACACGTACCTACCTACTSTTACCATCAAAGAGTTCTGTCAAGCATTACAATTTGAACCTGGTCTGTAACAAGAAAACATGCATGAGGTACACATCCACACTTTTCTGTCTTGTATCTAAACAAAGATAAAGTAAGATATTTCTTTAACCCGTTCTATAAAAACAGTCTTTATAAATTATGATTTTATACTAATGAGTGTGTTTACAGCACCTCTGCCTCCATGTATTATTTGTYAAACTAACATTTCAGCATTAGCTCATTCATGTTTTCCCTCCACTTCAGCAGGTGGTCTTCTGTGAGGATTGTCTGTGGTCTCATCCTTGTTAAATGTCTTGAGGGAGTGGGGGGAGCAGGAGAAGRCAGCCTGCCCATTATTTCCTCTTCTGTGTCTGTATATGTATGTATGTGTCTCCAGAAAACAATCGGATAAGTGGCATCCTGACTTCGCAGACGGAGCCCTACGACCTGTCTTTCTCACGCTCCTTCCAGAGCTTGTCACATCTGCCGCCCTCCTATGAGGCGGCCGTCAAAGCCGACCTCAACCGGTTTTCYTCCCTGAAGAAACTCAGTAGGTCCAAATTCACTGCACTAATGCAAGAGTAGGCTCCCTTTCCTGGTGCACTGCATGATAAAAGAAATTCAGCAATAAGTGTGCTTCCCTGACTCCTGACTGGGCTTAACTGAGAAGCACCYAAGTGTTTCTGCTGTGAAAATGATTTGACTGCTGTTCTTTGGATACCAGACAAAAATCACTCGTACATATCTTCACCCGCTTCGGATGTTATCATCCATGAAATGGACATTATTAGGTGTTATCAGTCCCCTAGAATGGCTTCAGAATGTCCCGCCTGTGCCG